CTTTTTAATCCTCAAAATGAATTCGTTTTTCTCCTTCACTGCACATATTAGATTGCCCACTCAAAATGGTATGATGATTCTTCCACCACTTTCACTTCCGTTTGGTGGTCAAATAACATACGTTAATCCTGCTAGAAGTGATCATTCACGTTCATCATTATCATCTAAACGTCGATCTTCATCAAGACATAGTAATGATCAAATTCAAACAACAACAATTACTACTTAAATATCTTTAAAATAAATACACCTGGCTTCTTTTTTTTCTTAATAATCACTATTTGTGCATTGATGTTATTGCTTGTAATAAATAAAAAATTTTCAAGAGTTTCACTATATAACAGAAGATAATTTATAGGAAAATAGAAGTTTTTATTTTTTTTCGGATATTAATTATAGAACTATCAAAACAGATGAATCAATTGATCGAACACAAGGTTCAACACATTTACCAGAATTTCCTTGTGTTAGTATGCAAAAACCTGTTGAATATGAACGACCGTTGACAATGAATGATGTTTCGAGTATAAGGTTAGTCAAAACTGTGAAATAATATATCTCAAAATCATTTTGATTTATCTTTTTAAAAAGATCATTCCTACAAACTAATAAAACTATTAAAGCTGATCATAAAAAAGAAAAAGATTATAAACGAACACAAGCTGATTTCTTTCGAATGCAATTAGACAATGCTGCTGGCCATTCTCCAACACATCGTGAAAATATGGTACGTGTCTATCATTCCTATCTTGGAACTACACCTGGTTCAAAGAAAGCTCTACGTGATCTTTGTGATCAAATACCTTTAAATGCTACCAAAACAACCGTCGAAGCTACAGTTTAACACAAACAGTATTTTTTATTTAATGCATTAGAAAAAGCAAAATTGTTACACTTTGTGTTTTTGCACACACACACAAACTCACAAAAAATCTACATTGCATTGTTGCTATCATTTTATACATTGCAAAAAGAAAATGACATTAACCACAAAACGATAAAAGAAAAGACGAAAAACAAAATTGCGTTGTAAAAAAAAAAGATCCAATACTGGACGGACAACAATGAATAATATAATAGAATAATGAAAACTCATGATGAACAATATAATACTGAATACAATAATTAGTTAGTTTAAAAAAAACAAATGCATGTCACCGTTTCGGAGAAATAAGCATATTTACAGAAATATATTTGACAAATGTGCATGACAGATATCATCTGATAAAGAAAAAAAACAATTAAGTAGAATTAAAACATAATGGCACAACACCGGTAACGTATCTAAAATTAACGTGATGGCCACGAAACCGGATTTTGTCCATTTGATGTATAATTTAACCAACTATAATCAGGTTTTGTATCGATAGCATCAAGATAATTAATTTCCATATCCTTAATATATATTCATATATATGTATATGAATTTCAATGACAAAAAGATAACTTACAACAACAACATTTGTTGCTTCACGATGAAGCACTTCAAAAATACATTTTTGTACTTGTCCATCAGTATTCATTTGTAAACAAAGAAGACGTTCAGCAACTAAATGAAAAGTAAACTAATACTTCAAACTTTATTCTTATTCTTGGTATCTGAAAATCAAATGAAAACTTATAGCTAAAATAATACGAATACAATCTACTGTTTAAAAACTTCATACTCATAGTATTTTCATCATAATTATCTAATGTTGATTCATACAGATATTTTTTTTTGAAGTTAAGTTTTTTAATTTGTTCGAATCTATTCATAGACATTTTTTTAAAAATATTACTATAGTTCACAATTTCTTTTGACATTTACAGAAATAACTATTCTATTACATTATATTGATTTATCTCAAGTAGAGGTGTAGGCTGAGCCACCGCAAAACGTTTACGATATATCGACCGCGCCATCTCTACTCAAGACATTAAATTGCCACGATACAATTAATGATATTTTGATTTTTGATCAATTCCGACGTACAAAATCAGTTTTCGAAAATGTTCTTGTTGATAAATTGTCTACCATCAATTTCTCGAAATCAAGAAAAAGTGAAGCTACATTCAAAGTCAATGCATCAGTTCAAACGTCAAATGTTAGAGATTTCGTTTAAAAAGAACCTTAATAACTCACTTAAAGCATCCAATGCTCTTAATTTTGATAAAAGAAGAAGTAATTTGGAAAAGTGCATTTTATCATTAGTACGATTTTTAGTGATATATAATCTTTCCATTTCACAATAACGTATTTGAATTTGTTCAACTTTATTTCTAGTTGTTTGACCTTCAATTCGATCTGTGAAAAAACAAAAAACAAAAAAACACAAACTAACTAAAGAATTTGATAATATTTTACCATGACTAAAAAAAACAATACCACAAAGAAGAACAAATTCTTCAATAGTTAATTCTAATCGATTAAATATTCGACAAAATTGTAAAAATGTATGTCCATAACAACCAAAACCTTGTGTCATAAGCATATGTTCATCAACAGATAAACCATTTGATAAATATAATTTATCATCTTCAGGTTCATAACGATAAGCTAAACGAAGTAAAGCAATACCATGTACACCTAATTTAAGTAAATGTGCACGTTCTTGAATTGATAATTCATTATTTCCTGGTATTTGCATACAAAATTGTATACATTGCATAATACCTTTTTGACTAAATTCATCTGCACGTTGCCAACGAAGATCTAATTTTTCCTAAACGAAAAGCAAAACTTATCCTTTTTTTTTTGTTTGAAATATTTTCTTGATTTACATTAATTTCTTGTGAAGATTTAAAATTAAATGTTGATTTATGTAAATTAACACAAATATTTATTAGATTTTCATCATCATCAATAGATAATAATTTTGATTCTGATACAGGTAAATATTCTTTTGATGGGATTGATTGAATAGTTAAACGTTTTTTTTGACGATTAGTTGTTGATGTTGATTTTGTATTATTTTGATTTAATAATTTTTTTGTATGATTTAATATACGTAATTCTTCTTTACTCATACCAACAGAAAAACATTTTTGAAAACGCTAAATGAAATAAAAAATAAATAAATAATGAAAAATAATTTCTCTCTTCTTCTTTTTTTTTTTTTTTTTGTTGTTTTTATTACACAATATTGACATCGATTTCTTGTCATTTTATTTATTTCACAATTTTGATCTTTATGACATTGATATGCCATATTTTTTTGTACACTACGTCGAAAAAAGCCCTAATAAAAAAAAATAATATCCAATGGAATTTATAACAAAAACAAATTTAATAGAAATATGTACTTTGCAACCTAAAAGACATAACAAAAATTAATATTCTCTAATTAAAAAAGAAAAAAAAACATTATTTAATTACCTTCACAACTCGAAACACCATAATGATAACCTGAACTTTTATCTCCACAAACAACACATGGTTTATAAACTCTAGGTGGTGGTGGTGGTGGTGGTGATGATGATGCAATTGATTTATTTATTGTTTGAACGTTTACTTGTTGAATGTTATATATTGGTTGATTTGAAATATCTAAAATTAAAACATTTATTTTAATAAAATAGACGAAAAAAGTTTTACTTGTATTATTATAAACAATATGATCAACATTAAATGGTTGTTGATTGCTATTATATTGATTTGCACTACCATTGAAATATTGTGTTACTCCTTCAGTTTTAATTACTTGACCATTGATTATATTAACCTCCGAGCTGAAATATTCATCTACAGCTGTACCCATTAAAATATTGCCTAAAGAAAAATTTTACATGAACAGATATAAATCATATTTATAACCAAATATAATCACGTCGTCTATGGTAAATTTTATTCAAAAATAAAAGAAAAATGACTGTCATCTCAGTCACTATTGTCAACATTTGTGAACGAAAATCTATTCTTTCAGTTTGCACTATGTCAAATATATATATATATTCTCTATCAAGATAAAATTGAAGCAGATGAATATTCAACTTATATTGCAAAGTATTTGATTAAATGTTTAGATACCCAATCTCGATCGAAAACACCCAATCATTAAAAAAAAAAGCTTATGTAGTCAAATATTAATACAGTGATTAATGATCATTTCCTTGCATTGTTTTCCTGTCCTGTTAGACAAGATATCATCGGTGCTTTTATTGGATATTGTATTATTGATTACAGTCTGTGCATGATTAAGATCAATCGTATGATGATCATTATTAGAGACAGGATATCTGGCCTTATCTTCGCATGTTCATGTAAATAAGTTGAATTTTCTCGTCTATAGAACTTGTTGTCTACGTTTATTATGATATAAATATGTACCTGTTGTACGATTTTTAGTTGATGTATCAATATTATTATTATTATTTAAATTTAAAAGATTTTCATTTGTTGAATTAATTGATTCAATACAAGACATTGTATGATAATCATCTGTATGTTCATTAAAAAAATGATCATAATCAAATGATTCATGAATAAGTTCGTTATTTTCCATTGGATTTGTCATTAAATATTTATCATTCTAATTATGAAAAAAAAAGACATTTTATTTTTTTTTGTTTTAACAAATAAAATCCTTACTTGAGTTAAAATGAAAGTTTAATGCATGAAAAGAGTTGAGTTGTGTGAACGTCTTTGTACACAAGAAAATGAACGCGCATTTTTCTCTTTCCTCTTCTTTTTTTTTTCTTTTTCGACAATGACCATAGGACCTGTGTTGTTTTATGTCTGTATTGTTGTTGGTCAATGTTATCGTCCTCGACGCCGGTCGTTTTTTTCCTTCTCGACGAATGGTTACTCAGACAGTCGATAAGATGTTGGCTCAATGCCATATTTGACCATCATCAAAAGCAGGAAAAAAAATTCAATTTCCTGTAGTAATGCTACTAGAATTTTTATTATGTTTTTTGTTGAACTCTAGATGACCCCAGTAACTTTTTTTTTTCTTCATCAAATGAAAACAAAAAAAAAAAAAAAAGAAAAGAAAAAAATATGATTTTCAATTCGACAATTAACCGTCACCGGATGCAAACATTAAAGAAGCAGATTGTTTATGATGAATAACTCCCGATGAATCTACATGATTTTTGTCGATTATTGTTTGTTGTTCTAAAAATTCACTAATTATTTTATATATATTCGTTTTTTCGCGATCGGTCAATCGTAAAAAAATTTCATTTCGTTCGAGATCATCAGTTGGTGCATGTTTTAATATATTAAGAATTGACGATGAGAGATTTTCATCACGAGATGAATATTCATGATACCAAGCACATAATGTACCTAAAAAGAATCATTTTATTTTCGTTTGCTGATCAGGTATTTCTTCATATCATCTAATAACAATCAACGAAAATCTTATCGTAGAAAATCTAACTATACTTTGATGCTAACAACACAATTGTCCCAAATAGAAATATCTAGAGACTGCGGTCTGATCTGAAACGCGAAGTAACATCTTAGATGATTTTCTCTTTAACAGAGTCGAAATTAGTTAAGTCTGTTCAAAAAGTTTTTCAGGTCTATAAAAACCTGTTGATCTGTTAGTTCATTCCAAATTGATTAATGGTAATGACTTCAAAAACGCTCATTTTCGCGCAGTTTTTTTAAATTTACAAAAGCAAAAAAAAAAGAAGTCATGTTATTGTCGTTTATATCGGGTAGAGTTCTACAAGATAAATACGGAATGTTTCTCTTGGGGAATGAAAGTCTCATTTACTCGGCAACTGCTGACTAAACTTCAAATCTGAAATTTTTTTATAGAAAAATCTAATATTTCTCTTTAAATAATTGTTCAAACTTATATCTAATTTTTTACGAAACATCAATTATCCTAGAAACAAATACTCCTATGGGAACTTTTACATATACTCTCATTTTAAAAACACATCTAAAATTATCACAACAAAAGCAACTCTTTAAAAAATAATTAAGTATTATGAGAAAACTTATAACTCTTACATCATATATTTGCTATCTAGTTTTGTATTTAAGTTTCGATGAATAATGTAAGTACTATGTAGGCACACTCATAGAAAACATTTAAAAATCTCGGTATTTCAACCGCTCTTTTCATTGTTTTGTATTTCCAAAGTTAAGGATGATAAAAAAAGTTCAAACTCTATCAAAATATTTAATCATTTCTTTTTAGAGAACTATTTTTGTTGTGATGATAATAAATTTTCTGACGATGAGAATGTCTTCATTGTAATTGATTGATTTTCCATGCAGTAGACACTAATTAAAACATAAACACACACGGTGATAGAAAACTTTCAGTACTTTGAGGATATCTAAACATTTTTTTTTTCGATAGTGTTTTTATGACAACAATACACTAAAAAAATAATTGATTGACAATTTTTTTCAGAGATGAAATAGGTCAGTTGATAAATTTAGTTCCAGTAACTCAGACTTTACGATTATTTTCATGATAGCACTTCAACTGTCTCTCAACATAATTTATTATAAAGAAATTTTTTCCACGTCTAAGAATCATAGAATTTAGACTTAAAATCTTTAAGCTATGACTTTTAATATACAGCAAATCCTCTCTACTTTCTTATATCGAGCGTATTTAACTGGTAATGAGCCTCTATAATGCGAGCAACATATGTTCTATTACTCACGCATACAAGACTATTTAGAAACAAAAAAAGAACATTATTAGACAAAACCAACAGTGCCCTAATTCTGTGTCATAAAAGAATTGTTATTTAAAAAAAATATATGATTATTTGAACTAATAAATTATTGAAAAGAAGAAAAGAGATCATCTTATGCAGTTGAATAGCGATTGCAAGAGAATACTTATTATTTGACCAAAAAATCTTCGAATAATGAACATCTCCGTAAATTGAATGCTTTTGGTCACTCCCGAATGACATCAAATTAGTAAAGTTTTAGTGTATTTTGAAATCTAGTGAAGTGTTGAACTCTACTGTATTCCCTTCGTATTTGGCTATTTATAGATTTTCTTCTTAAAAGTAGATATAATACGCGCTGAATATTTTTGCCCGCCGTTTTCTTTCATTATTTTATTTTTTACTTATTTCTGATGCGATATGTTTTCGTGTTCCATCTTTATAAAGAATATGTCTTGGTACAAATTCTTTTTTTTCATCGAATATTGTTAATTCCATATCATGTAACCATGTAAAAACATATTTTTTACATTCATTTCGAAGTGTTTCAATTAAATATTTTTCTGATAAATGAATAAGTCCTGTAACTAATATAATCATCTATTATGTAATCAAATGATTCATTAAAATTTGATACAGAACTTACTATTCTGTTCAGTTATTTTAATTGTAAATTGTGGATAGATAAATTTTAAAAGATCAATAACATCTATTGATGTTATTATTAATTGTTCATCATCTTCATCAATGATAAATGTACCATCAGGTTCAATAGCCAAAAAAGCTTTAATTATAGGTGATGCTTCTGATAAAATAGCTTTATTTGCATATAAAATTATATCTATAGAAATATTGATTTCGATGAATCAGTATTAATACATTCTTTTTTTCTTTTATATTTTACCTTTTTCATTTTTAAATGAAATTTTAACATCGGAAAATTCATTCGGTGTATTAAAATAATAATGTTCATGATTTCCAATGGATAAGATATTTTTAACAGACATAAGAAATGAAATGATGTGTAACGTAGAAAATGAAAATTATACAAATGAATTTCTGTTGTTATATTAACAAAATTTGGCGCATAAAAACAAGAAAAAAAGACAAGAATAACGAAACAAAAAGCATTTTATTGATGAATAAGACACAGAAGAAAAGACAAAATTCATTTTTATAAAATAGAAAGATCACATATGTAGAGTACATTCTCTAATATTGAAGCGAATACAAAGAAACTTTTTTTTTTCGTTTTTATTATTTAATTATTTTTCTTTTTTTTTTTTGTTCATTGATAGTAGAGTGATGTTGCATTCGGAATGAAAACAAGAAAAGAAAACAATGATAAACTAATTAATCAACATGTAGCGTAGTCTTTTGGAATGTATTTAAATATGATCATCTAATTATATTGCAATATAAATGGACTTAAATGTAATAATATCTGTTAGAAATTTTCAACATTTTGATAGAATGTAGCCTTCAAAAAGAAAAAAACGAATAAATAATTTTTTAATAAACTATTAATAAAATACATACAGGAACAGGAAAATACTGTGCAGTACCTTCATCACCATCACTATCACTACTATCAGCTGTTCGATCACGTTGATTTGGACGGGATTCTTGAAAGAAAATCATCGAATAGAATACGAATAGATTAACGAAAATAATTTTAATCTTTTACCATTAATATTATGCTGATTTAATTTCGTATAACATGAATCACATACACGAACTGGTTTTGAATCCAAATGTGGAAGTAGAAAACGTTTTTTTGAACATCCATCACATACAATAAAACCACAATTTCGACAATGCTATTCAAAAAAATAAATAAGAATTTAAGAAAAAAACGTTTTTCGACGATAAATCCTAAGGAGAACTTCTATCTTCATTTTTTCAATAAACATTTTTCTCAAGTGCTTGTCTTGATGCATTCTGTGCTTTCTCCACCATCTTAGAAAACTTTCATTTTTCTTGATTATTTCATTTTTTTTTGCTGACCAATTTTTAAAAGTCACACATCCGAAAATTTTAGTTAACTTGAACAAAAATATTCTAATCAGATTCATCAGTCATCGATGTCTCTAATCTTGATCGTCTCGGACTACTCCTGTTGCATATATTTAGAATGCTTTTGGTGTTAAAATAAATTTTTCTACTTGGATATAAAGATATGTTTATTCAAACACATTCCTTGGTCATGTAATTCTAATTGATACATACACATGAATTCGAAATTTTTGAATTAAATAAGTATGAGTCAACCAACGTTTTGGTGTTTAGTTCTTGGCATTGATAACTTTAACAGTCGATGCACGTTCATTGACAGTACACATCGACACAATGAACATAAATAACGTGTGTATCTGAATAAGTATTCCTCTAAATATTTTCCTGATTTTCCAGGCAACTTTTATTGTCAAGCCTCAATCTTTTTAAATTTTCGAAAAGATTTACAAACACTCGAGCTTGCCCATATAATCTCATGTCGCACATTTACTCACATTACTGCCCGGTAGAGCTCAAATTAAACCGAGCAGTTTACTGGCAATTTTTGTCCAGTTTGAATCATATTAGATACTAATCTGGTTGGATCTACTTGTTCGAAGTTTAAACTAACGAAGAATAATCGATGTCAATCTTTTAGTCATACTAGTTAAATTTGCGTAATAGGAACAAAGAATGAGTTGTTATAACTTAGCTTAATTTCAAAATGAATGAATGATGCATCAGAACGAAATGCCTGAAGTAGAGCAATGTTTTCAGCAAAAGATCTGGTTAAAACAAACTGTCAAGTATATTATGAGAAAGAATACATTTAGTTATTCTGCAAAACATACTCTGTCGTATTATTCTATTTGTACAAAGTTAGAGAAGAACTTTGTGACAGGTGGACGATTCAAAGCATCGAAGTATTATGTATTTAATTTTTCTGCTCAACATATCGTAATAAAACTTGTGATATGTTCTTGTAGAAAAGCGAATCATGAAATCTTAACCACATCTGTCTTGTGGATAATTCAATATCTTTAATACTGTCAATGTACGGCATTTAACAACATGTTCAAAGTTCATTTGACTCCAACTTTATGTTCGTCGATTCAGAATACATATCGATCATGCTTCAACTACTTATCTTATCTGTTGTACTTTTTTATATAAGCAACTTAATCGAATGCAATCTATTGAAAACGAGATACCTAGCAAGATTTTAATTAATATGAATGTAGTTAGCATTTGTATTCATACTCATTTTTAAACTCTAAATTAATCGTTTGTAGTAGTTTTTCTGAAGTTGAGATCGACCTAACTCCTTAGAAAGATTCTATAAGAAAGAACGCATTATGCTATCATGATCAGTTCATTGACCTCTGCAAACTGGAATAAAGTTGATTGAAAATAAAGACTTACACTTAAAGATCTTGACTCGTCAGTTTACTTTTAATTAAGAGACTACGACAAGAGACATTGACATACCTCTCGATCAACTAATTGAAAAATAAATATTAGACTTCAAAAACTTTTTTTAAACTTCCCATTCAAGTTTTTCAAATAGTTTTTGTATCTAATTTCTTATCGAAATATCTCCTACGATAATTTTCTTTATTGTTTACTTTCTACTATTCATCTACATCTCTATTAATATATTTTAATACAAATACTTCTCAACAAATGAAACTCTTTGAAAAATTTAATTCTATTACTTACATGTCTACGATTATAAGTAGAAAATTTCGATGTACGACAATGCATGCATGTATCAGCTTTATCATCTGGTACCCAATGTGCAGCAACAGCACTATGATGTGTATTATTTCCACCTTAATAATTGAATAGAAATAATCATATTACAAAAATAAATTTTCTATACCAGATGCATAACGAATACAACGATCAAGATGTGCAAGCCATTCTTGTCGTTCACGATCTGAATTAGCTCGAACTATAAATGATTTTTTTGGACTACTAATTAACCATGCATATGGATTTTCTTATATAAAAATAAAAATATCAATATTATAATTAAATATTCATTTATATGATTTACCAGGAGAATCCATTGGTGCACTAATTTGTATTTCATTCAGTGGAATTATTTTTTGTTGTGAATACTAAATAATATCATATTATAAGAAAAAAAAAAGATTTTATCTAATAAATCTTATTCTTCTTTTTTTTTTTCTTACCTTACGTCCACTGATAACAACTTGTCCATAGACAAGTATATCATTGAATAAAAAGAAAGCTCGTTGTTTAGGTTTTTTTCGGCATACTTTCATCAAAATACCTTCTCCAACTAATGCTCGACCTTCTTTTTGTAAATTCTAAAGATAAATTTTGACAACAAAATAAAAAAAAGAAATTTCAATAAAATAATATTTCGAACTTGACTATTGACAAATTTATCTTGTACACTTTTTATTCTCTTAACATTTTCTGGTGATCGACCTTAGATATACAAAAAAAAATTAATTTAATTTTTATCAATGATACGTATACATACTAAGTTGAGCTAGGCCATCTTCTTTTATTGATGTTGGTCGACCCATACCATTTGAATTAGCAGAAGTCATTTTCTAAAATAACAAAATTTCTTCAATATTTTCAAATAAGATAAACTTTGCATTCTATTTATAACTTTTGGAAAGACAATATACAAAAGAATGTAAAAAAAAAAACATGCATGAAACATACAGACATTTACGCCTACCCTATTCGAAGTTATGCTCGTTCTTCTTTTCTTAAAAAAAAAAAGGTGTATATCTATTGGATTAGACAATTTTATTGCCAATCAGAAGAAAGTATAAGACCTTACTAAACGAAATATTTGCGGCGCTTTTATATGATAACTCATCTCGAAATATGATTCATTCTAAAGAAGAAAATTTTTGTGCCATGAACCGTCTATTTATTTATTTATATTTTTTCGTTTGACAAATGACATATGGCAACACATTAGAAGATATTAGACCATAAGTTAGCAGCAGAGACATTATTTTGACATTTAAGATATATTTATTGTATCAGAAGGAATATTTTCTATTCTATTCTTGACTGACAAGGTATGTTCTCTTCATAGTACAATATAATCTGCCATTTTATTGCTTTTAACTGTCTGTTCATTTTCATCCTTTATTATAGATATAATGTCAAAAGATTCTCAAGCAGCTTCAAATATTACAAGTAAACGTAAAGTTGCTTTAATAACAGGCATTACTGGACAAGTGATTATTATGAAAACAAATCGTTTCTTTTTTGTGTATTAATATCATTTTATTTTAATTTTTTTTTAGGATGGAAGTTATCTTACAGAATTTCTTCTCGCTAAAGGCTATGAAGTTCATGGTGTTATTCGACGTTCAAGTAGTTTTAATACAGGTCGAATAAATCATCTTTATGAAAATCCATCATTACACAAGGAAGGAGGTGCATATTCACTTTTTTTTAATCGTTTATATATTAAATATTTCATATAGCTATGAAATTACATTATGGTGATTTAAATGATAGTTCATCATTAGTAAAAATAATTTCTAGTGTTAAACCAATAGAAGTATATAACTTAGGCGCCATGAGTCATGTTAAAGTAAAAATTAAATTAAATTACTTTTGAAATAATTGAACATTCTTTTTTTTTCATTTAGATTTCCTTTGATTTGAGTGAATATACAGCTGATGTTGATGCTGTTGGTACATTACGTATTTTGGATGCTATTCGAATATGTGGTCTTGAAAAAGAAGTACGATTTTATCAAGCATCAACATCAGAACTTTATGGTAAAGTTCAAGAAATTCCACAAAGTGAAACAACACCATTCTATCCACGATCACCATATGGTTTGTTCACACTTTTTTTTTCTTGTTATTATGATTATTCGAAAAACAAAACAATGATTTATTTTTATATTATAGCTGCTGCAAAATTGTATGCATATTGGATCACAATCAATTATCGTGAAGCCTACAATATGTTTGCTGTTAATGGGATTCTTTTTAATCATGAGTCTCCACGACGGGGTATAAATAAAAAAAAACAAAAAAAGAGATATGTATATTAACTGATTTTCTTTCTAGGTGATAATTTTGTAACGAGAAAAATTACTCGATCGGTTGCAAAAATTCATCTTAAACAACAAGAATCACTTGAACTTGGTTCATTAGATTCAAAACGTGATTGGGGACATGCACGAGATTATATTGAAGCTATGTGGCTTATGTTACAACATGACACACCTGAAGATTTTGTTATTGCAACTGGTAAAAATATTTTAATAACGATATTATGAATAAGAATCTTCTTTTTGAGGTGAAACACATAGTGTTCGAGAATTTGTTGAAGCAGCATTTCAAGAAATAGGAAAACGAATTATGTAAGAAATATAAATTAATTGATAAGTAAAACAAAACAAAAAAAATGTAAAATTTTGTACTAGATGGGAAGGTGAAGGTATTAATGAAATTGGCAAAGAAGAAGATACTGGTATTGTTCGTGTTACTGTTAATCCAAAATATTTTCGACCAACAGAAGTTGTAAGTTCGAATGAAAATTACTTTGCAATAAAAAGAAAAATTGAATTTCTGATTTATTTATTTTATTTTATTTTGTAAAGGATCTTTTAATTGGTAATCCAAAAAAAGCTGAAGAAAAACTTAAATGGAAACCTAAAATTACATTTAAAGTATGACTTTTGATTATTATCGATCAATTTATATTAAAATCTTTATCATAGGAATTGGTGAAAGAAATGGTTGCAGCTGATATTGAACTTATGCGAAAAGATCCAACAGCTTAAATTTTTATATGTTAATAAATTTTATTCATTTTTAAGAAATTTTAAATCATTCTTTATCATATTCAAACATAACATTCGTTTTGATTTTGATCCTTTTGTTAATTATTTAATAAAAAAAAAAAGAACATAAGTTAGCATTGTATCTTGTTTTGAAGCAAAGGAAATATTTTCATAATTATTACATATAACAAATACCTTTGTTATTTATATTCATTAATGATATGATGTGTTCGTTTGTTGAGGTCCAATTCTTTTTTTTTTCGGATTAATATCTTCTTTGTTATCCTTTATAACAATTGATTTTCGTTTGTGTGGATAACGAGTCTTTCCTTTAAGATACAGTCCATTAGCTAATATAATAATAAAGTCTTTTTGAAATAATTTATCACGCCAACGTTGTGGAATTCCTTCGATACCATAGCAAGCACCAGCAAGTTGTCCATAGATAGCTGCTGTTGTATCAGTATCATCACCTAAATTTACAGCTAAAAGAACACCTTTTTCAAAAGAACCTCCATCATTATAAAATGCCCATAAAGCAGCTTCAAGTGCATTTAATATATAACCTTTACCACGAATACCATCTTTATATCCATTTTTTTTATCTCTGTATGAACCATTAATAACTTTCATAAGATCTTGATCAAAATCTGTCTTAAAATGTTTACGATAGAATTCAGAAGCTAAAAGATCATTTTTAGCTACACCATTTATAGCATTCCAAATAAGTGCAGCATAAAATCGACAAGTATCAATTGCTTTCTTATCACCATGTGTAAGTATTGCACTATTAGCAGCGTTCTGTATAGCATCCGATACTGATCGATAATAAAATAAAGGTATTGGTGCTAAACGCATAAGTGCTCCATTACCAGCAGCATTTTTCGCGCCACATTCTGTATTAAATTTAACTTGAGAAATTTTCTCTCCAATTATTTTGTCCAAAGAATCTTCTGGTATAGTTATGCCTCCTTTTGCTCGTAATAATTGTGCACTTTGATGTTGACGTTTTTCAAATTCATTGATTGCTTGACATGTTGAAGCTCCAATATCAAAACATGTGCCTGTCGAAGACATATATCCTTTTCTATACCACCATTTGTATCGTAATAATTGATCATAACCATCAAAACCTTCTTTGCTAATAAGACTAGCAGCTAGACAAAGTGCCATTGATGTATCATCAGTCCATTGACCAGCTTTTATACCCCATGTACCGCCATTTTGCATATCTGACACAGGATTGTGTAGCATATAGGAATGTGGACGAAATTCAACCGATGCTCCAAGAGCATCACCAATCGCAAGACCAACGAGAGACCCTTGTATTCTTGCAAGTATTTCATCTTTATCATTTAATTCTGATAATTCAACATCTTGAAGACGCCTGAGTTCTTGATATGGTTGAGATTCATCAAGTAATTCGATTAGTGTTAGAGTCTTGTTGTTTTGTTGATTATTATTGAACAAGTTTCCTGTCATTGTGAGTTTTAGAAGCAAATTTGAAATTGGCGAGAAAATATTGGTCAATGATGGTAACATGTAAATTGATATGTATGAGGATACTGGAGTAAGAATCCACGAAAATTATTATCCAGTGGGTATGCGCTTGTTTTTTTCTTTCACCGTGATAGTATTGCACCAATGAGATTTTCTTGGTTAATGAAATTCATTTGTCGAAAAAGAACGTAAAAAAATGTCACAACAAAAAGGGACAAACCTGTGGATGATTCAGTTTTTGTATTTGTTGAATTAATCATGCACACCTTAAAATGTTTTCAAAAGATAATCAAAGATTTAATATGGCAATAATGTTAATTAACATTGATTTTTCATGTTCAGTCGCGATTAATTTTTATACATCACTGAACATGAAGAATCAATATTGAAAGACTATTTTATAAAATGATCATTCTTGACTCTTTCGTTTTCATTTTTTCATAATTCTTTATATTTATTACAATATTAAATAATCAATTTAAATTTTTTGTTGATCTACAATAATTTCATGAAATGATTTAAAGTAGAATTATTCTTATAAATGTCAAATTTCCGTTCAAAGTCAATTATGAATGATATAAAAATTTAAAAACAAATATTAACTCTCTACGCCATCTCTTTTCCACAACGATTTCAGAAGAGTCTATACAGTCTCTTGTTCAGATAATTTGTATGAGATTTTTTAAACGTAGTTTATTCAAGAGCATCAACTTTCGTCGCTATTTATCAGACATCACATCATTCAAGTATACATTTCTCCTAGGTAAAAAAAAAAACAATCATAAAAAAGAGGTCTTTTTTTTTCAAATAATTTCAGAATTGTCTCTTTTGTGTAGTCGTATATCGTGGAGACAGACTGCATTCTCAATAATGTTTTTAAAAGAGGCAAAGCAGGTTGCTAATAGAAAGTAAAGGATTAACTAAGGACTTTTGTTTGTTAATTGAAACGATGCTAAACAAGACGGTCTTAAAAATAAAAATATTTGCATTTCATCAGTATATGCTTAGAGTTTTGTACAATATGCAGTTGAAAGACCAGATGATGTTTTTGCTTACTTCCAACTTTTGATTATTTTTGAAATAATCATCCATGAATGGAAGTAATAGCTATTGTATTTCTTTTGAAGTCATAATTGAAATCGTACTTTAGCAATTACTGTTGACATCTTCTTGAAGGCATTCTCGATTTCAAAATTTTTATTTTCTTTTGAAAACATATATATAATTCTATCGGTTGGGTTAATAGAACAAATATCTAAATATAAAAGTCAAAAAAGACCAATGCAACAGTAGTCCAAGTGGTTTTTTGAACATGTGGTAATTGCCCAAGTCTCATCATATATCCATTACGACCTGTATTATTATCATCATCATCTACTTTACCAATCATCACTTGCATGCAAGTTGTCAATAATTTTATCTCTCTGAATTTCACTTAGAGATGTATTTGATGAATCATAAATATCATCAAGACTTTCAATTTTATGAATTCTTGATCCTGATTAATTTCCAATAATACAATCACTATCAATACTACAAGACATAATCAAAAAACAAATGAGACTTATAATAGTTAAAAATATGTTTGCGCGAGAGTTTAATATGAGAGAAAAACTCAACACATCACTATGACAGTATCAAAAGAGGTCTTTAGCTCCTTTATTCAAATTTGACTATCGAAAGCATTCTTTACGAAGTCTGTCACAGTAGCATCCATTACGATGAGAACTCAGTTGTTTATCCAAGCTAATGTTCACGTGAGACGTAAATGTATTCGTTTCAAAATTCAATAAATCGAGAACTCAGGTCACTAAATATTTATGATTTGTAAGAAAAGGTATGAAGACGTCTATTGCGCCGATAATATATAGAACAAAACCATATTGAAATCAATGATGTCGTCAGGACATTCAAAAACATCTATAAAAATGATCTATCATACCGATAAAATTTTGATTGTAACATGCCTCTTAGATAGAAGAACTTGAGATCTATAGTTCAAAAAAATATTTTGAATGATGATGTTCTCATATCCAATTGCTGGACAAATAAAAGGTATGCGTGTGCGTCAACAGAAAGCTAAATCTACACCCACACATCTACACTTAGATAGACATTTCGAAGCGCCGATTGAAGGTTGCCGTGGGTATCAAAATTTCAAACGGACCCCTTGGATTCTCACCTTCCAATAGGTCAAGGGTTCGACGATAAATCAATAAAATACGGAGTTTTAGACCAGTCCAACCATTTTTTGCTGAGAAAATCAAAATTTAATCAAAATAAAAAGGATTCTGCCTACAGATGCCTCATTCTCGAGTAGCCGAAACCTACCGAATATTGCAGTTACGATTAACATTCGTCAAATATCTGTACTAAATATAAATTATTGCTGTTCTACGAAAGCTTTCTTTTCGATTCTTAGAAGCGTAACCACCGGTTGACTGTGGTTAGCCACATTAAATCGGTAAATTTTCGGTTTACCGCACTGTACAGAACGGAAACCGTACTTAACTGACAGCTCTTTGCCAATGCGAACAGCATGAGATGAAAATTAATATATGACATAGTATGAGTGAAATTTTCATGTATTAACTATACATGGGGTCTCATTCAGATTGTCTTATATATTAAATTTCATCCGTTTTGAATATTGTATTGTCAATGTATGAATTTCTCAAAATATTTACGTCTTGCTTAAGTTTTGTGTAAAAACCAGATATTTGGAGAAACCCATATGGTGACAATGTGATATTCAAAAGGAATGAAATCTAATATATGAGACAGCCTGAATGAAATATTCATGTATAGTTTATAAAATAAAGGTCTCCTTTATACTATCTCATGTACACCTATGAGCAAAAGTTTTCCTTCCTTCTCTCAACCTCTCTAGCTCCTTTTTCTTTCAAATGGAAAGACTTTCGTCTAGGGATGTACGTTCAGATTATTATAAACACAACCAAGCTGAATAACGATGTAAAAAACAACATATTTTTTGTTTTTACAGTATAAACTATGTCTTCTCGTTATTATTATAGCATTTGATATGTGTCGAAGTATATAAACGAGATACTGACAAGTATGAAAAGCTACTAGCACAATATCAGTGAGAATGAAATTTGAAAAACGATGGAGCTTTTGTCATTGTAAAAAAAACTACTAACATATGTTTTGGTTTATAATTACCATCTACTACCAATACCTGTTGATGGGTAAAATGCTTATTACAATATATGTCGATCGGTATGAAAGAAAAGAAAGGAACAGCTATCTTTAAGCCAATCGTGTTTCATACTAATGTTGCATTAGATTAGTCTTGCAGGTATAGCTTTCATGTTCGATGAAGAGGAAATAGCCATCATTTAAGATACTTAGGTGTCTTTCACGGTTTGTAAAGTGTTCTTGCTGTTGTGTTGGCTACGCCGACGGAGAAGGCGCAGAGTACATAGTTAAATGACAAAATATTTTGTAATTTTAGCTGTAATTTTCTCAGTTATATGACATGCAGCCAAGTTCAATAAAATCATGCAATAGGGCACGAAAGCCAATACGAGCTTTCTATTAAAAACGCTTTATTACAAAAACATCTTATCACAAACAGTAAAATTTTTAATGTTGTTTAGCTTCTACTGAGTGTCTACTGAGGAAGAAAGGACTGGATGTCTATGCGTATATTTCAACATCCATCCATTTATAATCGTGTTTTACAAAAAAATTAATCATATCTAAAAACGTTTAAAACATAAAAAACGAAGCAGTACACCTATGTAGAATCATTACGTACTATCTGCATGTTGTTCTATAGTCTCTAGTCATGATATTTACATTAACACACAAGGTACCTTCTATATGATATATACATCTTTTCAAAAGAATCTTCGATTTTCCCAAAATATAGAACAACTACGAAGTCAAAGATCTTACATTAAAGAATGATAATGTAATGATAAATATTATTTTAATTTTTATTTTCATGATACACATGCCTAAAAAGGTACCACAGTTTGATGCTTTGATTTTTCTCTTGCATATGATAAAGCTGAGTGATTGTTTGAATGAGTGAAGTGATAGTTTATTCTGTATTGCTAATAGCCAAAATTGAAGAAACGTTGACCAGTGTCAGTTGTATTCCAATGTTCATCATCTTGATCATTGTTTGTTTGGTTGCCAAAGTATGCATTGTCTCCTAACATAAAATATGTAAGTTTATTCGCTCAAAAGAATATCTGCGATGAATTATTCGATATATTCACCCAGAATACTATTCTTTAGATTATAGAAGTAGTTGATCAATTGAATTGATCCCTGGTTTAAACAATAGCATAATTTTCTTTCGAAACCTGATTAGAATCTTCTAATATATTTAAAAAAATATGCATACGATTCTCTGATCAAACTCAATTCTTAAAAGAATGACAATGTGTAAATTAGTGTTGGATGAATACAATTAAGAATACTTTACTAATGTCGATCGCTCAGAAAATTATTTCAAAAGTTAGAACTGTTGTAATGTAACTTATAACTATTAATTATTTGAGCTCGATCAATTCGCATCTGTTTTTATTTTATATATTTCTTTAAATGAACCAAAATCTTTATTTCGCAAAACCTATGTCCGACTCTTTTATCCTTCAAACATACGGATGAAAACAATTCAATGTTTATTCTGCCTGTTTCAAATGAACTAATAGTAAGGTTTGGAATAGTCAAAATTGATATTCTCTCTACATTTCCTTTCGAGTAAGTATCTTTTACAGAAAGTATTGTCGAATAAATTTTGTGTTGCTATTATGTGATTAATTTCGATCATCAAGTTTATTTACAAGAACTACTGATCATATTGATATTGATAATACAAAGTACTTAATATTAGGACAATAAAGTAGGCTATATCTATCTGTAAGTTTCGAAAAACCGCTGTATGCAGAACTGTTGTCAGTACAAAAAAAAAATAATCTAATTTTCATGAGGAATATCTGAATTAGATAAAACTATTCGATTGAAAAATCTTATTGGCTCAAAACGTACTTTCTTTCAAAAGAACTTCATAAGAAATTCTGTAGGTCAGATTAATATGGTAGTTACATCACGTTTAAGTACGTTACATAGCGAAACATTTAAATAGACATGACATTTTGTCACGATTCTTATACCTGCCTTGTTATTCTATCTCTTATTTTTGCTATGCGCTTTTGATTATCAGTAATCAGGGAATAAACTTAGAGAAGCCAGTCTGCAATAAATGAATTCTTAGCTAATTAAGAATTATTGTATCTATTTTATTCATATGTATTTCCTCTTTTATCAACCTCGATCAAGTTCAAAATGTTCCACTAGGCTGAGGAAAATTTGAATTTTTCACAATTTGTAAATTGATTTGCCTTAATTTGTGACATGATTTTTCTTCTTTTTAAAAGGCAAAATGTTCTCTAAGATACTATTTCAAAACGGCGAAAAAGTTCAAATTTGTGAAAGTATTTTTAGTCTGTTTCAATCCTGAAACTTTTTCTTTTGAATGCTGCATATTTTGTTACTCTAAGACATCGATAGATTAATCAAACCAAGAAGAAAATTATTTCAGACATCTATGATTAATTGGTATTGCAAATATCTAGTTTAAAATAATTCGATTTGAAGTTGATTTTTTCTCCTGTAATGATTTTTTTCTGTATGGAAATCAAATCAGTTTGATCCTAATAAAAAATAATCTGAATTTCTGCCTAAATTGTTTTTTTTCTCTCGATGGATGAAATTCTTCGATGATTTATCTCGTTCAACAAAAACATTATAACTTTTACCGTTATCATCATCACCATCGTCATCATTATCCAAATCTTCGATTGTACGATTATTGCCATCATCATTATCATTATCAGGATTAAAATTTTGTTGATAATCAATGGAATCATCTTGATCCCAATGATCTTGACCGAAATCATCAATTGCCACTTTTCGAACTGTCCAAACATCGAAACAGTACTCAGTATTGGTTATGTAATCGTATGGAATATAACAATATCCTTTATCTCCCTACAGAAAAAAGCGACTACACTATAATGGTATTAAAAAATTACAATAAATATTTCACCCAATCTTCTCCCCATGAATTTCGAACAATAAATGCTTGTGATCGATCACTATAGCCGACGGCTAGTAGAGCATGACTAAAAATATTAGAAGAAAAAAACCTCTTTATGTTCATTATGCAATACGAGATGAAACACAGACTTTCCATGTGATTGTCGACTACGATCGAACGCACTCGGCATAGGTACAACACCAATGTTAGTTGCTTGATCAAATGATGCAAAGAGTTTTAAACCAAATGCAAATGGAAAACCTTGTGCTAAACATGATTTCATTTCGTATAGATCAATTTTGACTTGAAAAGCTTCAGTAATCTTATGATCTTTTGCTGTCGTATATGCCTCGTCACTTGGACGCGTATTTATGTTTGTAATATTGTATGGCCAAATTGACTCGAGACAGATACCGAATTCTTCCAGTGCTTCAATGATATTTGTCATTGAACATCCTGAATCTGTCACATTGTAACTGTTGCCACTTTTGACACGACCATTATAATAGATAAATAAACGACTAACATCAGTATTGTGACCATTCTTTTTCTTTGTCAAGTATTCATATGCTCCTAAGAATAAACAGGAATTTTCAAGCGGTTAAAAATATTAATAGAGCTGTTTTACCAGCAAGACAGTTGGCCGTACTGATTGCAAGAAAATTAAAAGTAAAATTTCGTTCGAGAAATAAATGATACAAAGAAAAAACAAATGTTGCTTACCAACTACCGATTCTTGATTGATCTTCAACCGGCGTCATATCTTGTCGAAGATCAACCTTAGGAGGTAACTGATTAGCATCATAAATAAGATGATCTGAAAGTGCTTGACATAGCCATTGTTTACTCGGTAAATGAGTCGAAGGAAAAATACCGTTGAGACGAAACTTTCTATTTTTATATCGATTGACCAAAAATTTTCGCAATGACATCTTGCGCAATTAAACGTTGTGACTTAGTAAACAAGATATGTATTTAAAAAAAGCTTAATGTCGCTTACAATTCTTTTCTATCGGCGTAGCGTTCTACACGATTTATTTTCACTCAAAGAGTATTGAAAAGAAAAAAAAATATGAAACATTTCTTTTTCTTTTTTTCTTTCTCTCTTGTAATGTTTAATTAGAAATGCTGGACGGGTTCCAGGCGACCATATCGTGTTATTTCTCTTTCATTTCTTCTTTTTACTGCCACCATTCAGATAAGGAGAAAGCAGAACGGCAAGGTCACGTCATTGGATATTTATCCTGCATACATTCGAAAAAAAACCATAATAAATAATTATTCGAATAACAATCAGATATTTCTATCCTTGTATTTTCCTTGTATATAAATGGATGGTAAACTCATTTAAGTCCACGAAAATAGAACATTTTAGAAATGGAGCGTGTCAAACACATGACTCATTACAGAAACATCTACTGTAGACAAAAACAAAATCAAAACATATTCAATATATTTTATAGACTCTAGAATCTAATACAAACTGTTTTAGCAAAACCGCTAGACTATGTTGATGATAAGAACTTTTTTTAAGAAACATAATGTTTGCAACAGAAAAAGACAGGTTTTTGATTGGTCAGTATCAATAAATTACTTTGCAAACAAGACAATCATAAAATCTTGAATTGATGAAAGAGCATAGAAACGTTTGTAGACAAGTGGCTTTAAAATAAATTGGGTCTCGAACGCCGTTGTGGCCTGTATATTCAGTCAAATATACATATGTACATAAATAATAACACAATTTTTTCAATTGGCTTTTTAAGTTGGCATGGAAGCAAATCGGCCCACTATACATTCAATATTAATAATAGAACTTATGCTTATGTTCTAAGAGTATTATTACATCAATATGTCAAGTATAAAGTGCAAAGAGTCAATGTTGAATGCCATTCGACGATATTATAAAAACAACGAATTGGAAATTGTGTTATTCACGATGAGACGAAAGTTTTGAAAAATCAATTGAATTCACTGATAATCTCATTAAAATATGTACGAAAGATATTTTTTTTAGCCAATGTCAATGAGATATCTCAAAAATTTAGTGATCTTATCCAAATGACAGAAAATATTATCATAAGAAATGATCACTAACCACGAACTCATATGAGATAACATAAAAGAAATAAAAGTGAATTGTTATCTTTACCTTCCACAGGCATGTTATATTGTTTATTAAATGAAAATCTACTCAAATTTAAAGCAAACCTTATTCGACTCTGGCTTGATCTAAAGAAAATTTTGTTATGCTCAAAAAACATACGATTGGCAAAACTTATCTGTATATTGAATCAATTAATGTTAAACTACAGTTATGCTAATAAACTTCATACTGTCAGCCACGCGCATAGAAAATAAGGAACAAGGAAAAACACACGAATATACACACTTCGCCTTACTAAGTAAAATGTATTCGTGTTATTCATATTTAGTGAAAAAGAAAAAAGTAGGCGCATAAGAATTTTCTTTATGACTGGATAAACCTTTTTTCTTTATGGACACGTCCATAATAAGACTTATACTGAATATTTTTATTATCAATGCATACAGGGTAGGCAAAAATTAAGCAAACAACGAGTTCAGTTTAGTTTTCTCTTTATAGATCGATAGTGAGATATTATATTTATGGGCTCCGTACACTATTTGACAAAAGCCAGAAGATCATCGCATCATTAATTTTTGGACTTAAAAGTCTGTAAAAAAAAGAAAAAAGGATAAAAACATACTGCGGACAAAGAAAACTGCGAACTTTTGAAATCATCAACATAAAGACTACACGAGACATACGTACGTTTTTCAAGATTTCTTACAACCAAAGACTAATTATAGACTGTTTCTCTGAGTATTGGCATCTAGCATATATGATCCAAATATGAGATCTAGCAATCAATCTACAAAGAAAATACTGAAATCAATTCCGTTTTTTCTTTCCTTTTGTCTACTCTGTATAGACATCTGGTTCAATTATATGATGATGATGATTTTCCTATGAACACATATCAACACTTGAAAAAAAATGACAATGAATCACTCGTCATTAAGTAAATATCCAAACAACCAATATCGATTTTGCCTGCTTGTAACAGAGGATAGTTTCTTATACAGCTTAGCTGAACTCACATCCAATGCAAGCAGAAGAACTGCAGTTAATTGATGATTTTCGATTGGTTATCATGGCATGGTTCGATTACTCCAACAAAAAATTATCATCCTTTGCATTAACATTTATATATAATATCAAGCAAGACAATTTGTACTTTTGCAATAGCAGTATAACTAGGTTCAATGAACGTTTTAGAATGTTTAGTGGTAGTTGTGTTATTCGCTGGCCTCCGATTGCAACTTTTCGAAAATATAGGAATTCCTATATAGGATTTTGATTTCTGAATTTTACCACCATTTTCACTAAAAGCTAACCCAAATTTAGGTATTATACGTCGAACTTTACCCACAAGAGACACATATTCTCATCTCCTGGGCTCTTCGTAAAAAGTGATGACCGGGGGGAGGGGGGTAGCGCCACGAAGACTCCTGTACTCCCCCTCAGGTCATAGTTAAATTTTTTGAAGTTTTTCTACTATTTTTGATAAAATATAGGAATTATTGGAGTAGCCATTGAAATATAGGATAAAATATAGGATGAATCGGACCCCAGGTTATTCGATGATGCTACAATAATGACGGAACACTGATTTGATTTGGATTTATGCGGTAAAAGTTATACGGATAAAGCCATTAATTTCTTTGATGACAGTCTACAACATATTTTTCAAGTTAAAAAGAAAACAATTATGTTATTAGGTGAGTAAAACTTATAAAACGAATCGAATGAAGCAAAAGTTTGCTTTTAATCTTTTCACCTATTGAAGAAGATCTACTTAAACTCACTTGCTTGTTATTCTACGACTGAAAGTCAACCAAAAATTTACATGCAAAAATCTAGTTTCATATGAGCAGCCCAATCATTTGGCATCAAGAATCAGTACAAAAATGAGAATTTTAGTTTCACCACATTTTGACGAACCTTTATTTTATTAAATCGTTTAGTGATCTTATTGTTGTTGTTCATAGCATCATATTTTACGACAAAGGATTGATCTTGTCAGCAAACGGCAGAAAAAGCACAACTCCACTTCATTGCAGCGCTTTGTCTTACACATATAAAATGGCAAGTTCATATTTGTATAATGAATGATGCCGTTTAACTGGCGGTGAATTTTACGTTTAGAAAAAACCTGCTGAATCTTTTAAAGGTGTTATTTTTTTACATAAGCTCTGTATATTTTACTTTTTTGAGCAATATATATTAAATAAAACAATTTTTGTAGCCTTAAACGATGCCCATAAGTTCTTATATAAAAGTTTTATTTGGCGTTGTTTAATCAACAGAGAAAACAAATGATAGGGAAACGAAATTTTATAATGGGAATTATTTAAACTGTCTTCGAACAATGTACAACAATTTATTCTAATAAATTGAATGGAGTTGTTTTCAACTAAACACTTATTTTTCGATTTTTTTTTATTCTGTATCTGCAGATCAAATAGTATTTGGATTTCAACAGTGAACTTTGCTTTGTTTAATTTCAGCTGAAAAGAATCGTGCGAAAATTAGATGATCGTGTTTTCCCATTGTAATGATTCTAATGATCTATCTAATCATCTTGATGAGATTTAAAAATAAACGTTGACAGATATAGAAAATATTTTAAGAACTCGTGCATAGCCTTGCTGAATATCAATTAACCTGATTTATTTGTTTCTTTTCATATTTGTTTTGGTATAAACATCCATTCAATCTTTCAATAAAATTCCATCGATGACGAATTATCATATAATAAATAGGCAAAAGACTTCTCTCTTCTGTTTTGAATTATAATAATATAAAACAAATATAACACATAATCAAGAGGTTTGCGAACTTATTGTTTCTTCAGATTATTTTCATAATATATAAATATCAAAGTATGACGATTAAAGCTGTTAGAAGAATTATATTTCAAGCTTCTATAGTAGATCTTTACTGTTACTATCTCATTCAAGACTGAAAAACTAACAAATAACATATAGAAAATATTTCCTATATACTGTTATTGATTATTGGCGTGATCTTGATATTATCTAAATAAAAATGAAGACGGAAAGCTAATCTGATTTTAAAATTAGGTTTGCTTTTTGACTAGGTCTTATATAAAGAAAGATTTGATGCCATCAGAACGGACAGCAAAATAACAAGAACACAGCAAGACTTGATACCAATAACTATTTCAGGTATTATGACGGCTACAACACAAGAATAATATTAATTATAATCATGTTTTCAAACTGAACTTTCTATCGTTTTTATAACTTTTAGAAACATCTATTAGAAAAAAAAAGATTAGAAAAGAAGCACATTTTCATTCTACCGTTCAATGATTATATCGTCTAGTCTCGGGTAACGGTGCTTATCTTCTAGAATGAGATTGATTTCTTGAAGGGAAGTAGATTATGTCTTACCATATAGTCACTTTATTAGCTGTTCATTTTGGACAGATATTACAGTATCTTTAAGAGTAGCATCTACAGAGTAACTACACAGTAACAGAACTATACTCAAATGATGTTGTGATTATAAATTGGTCAATTACTAAATGCATTGTCAATACTAACCGTCTAGATGCTAAACAGAACATTCAACAGCAAACAAACATTTGGATTTTTTCTCCTGAAAAACATGCTCATTGACTATTCAAATTTTGAAAAACATACAAAAAATAATATCGCTGCACATAATCTTTTAATTTCTTTCTATAATGTCATTCCCACGTTCTGATTGTAATATGTTTAGAATCAGAGGTTCTCGGTTTTTATGAACTCTTATTTTGAAACTATTTTTCTGAGAAGTGTTCTGAACTGCATGATTCATCTTTGAATGAACACAGCGGAA